AGAAAAATTATCATGCACTGTTTTTTTTTAAATACCTATATACCTTGACCTATGTTTCTAGTTATTTAGAACCCTCGATTACCTAAGACTTAGAACCACATGGAATGTTGTAGGAATGCCTTCATGCTATTCTTCCTTGACACATGTTGTGTTGATTAAATAACTTGGTTTGTATGAATGTACTATCAAGATGTCTAGTGTGGTTGAACCTTTGTGGTTCATGAAAGTTTTTGCATATTGTGAAACCAATGGGTATTGAATTACATATTGCATGAGACTTGATATGCTGCCTCATGATATATGCATAAAAATGTTGATAATGTATATATTGTATGTGCAATAATCGAGTGGGAGCTGCTATAGTCCCACGTTTTTTTAGCTGCTTGGATATTCAAATATACAGGTGCAAGCTATCTCACGGATCTAGATGATGCGAAATCTACATCTAAATATGTGTTCATGCTTGGAGGGGTTGTAGTTTCTTGAAAATCAAATAAACAAGATGTGACAAAATTGTCCACTATGGAGGCAAAGTACGTAGCGTGCTGTATGGTGATCGAAGAGGCCGTATGGATTAAGAAATTTCTTAATCGACTTGACTTTCACCTTATGCATTGTAAGGCAGTAAGAATTTTCTACGACAATACGATGACGATATGCATGTCAAATGAGCCACGATTTCATAAGAACTGCAAGCATATAAAACCATGTTTTTATCACCTGAAGAATGAGGTGAAATTGAAAAAGATCGAGATCCAGATAAACTAAATATTCTAGTGGGAGCACCTGCTAGTATTTGATATGCTAGATGAAATAACAGACTATAATGTTGTTCACCCATGGAACCCAAATGTGTAGTGCTGGTTGTATGATTATAAAAGGAAGCAGCATATTTGAAGAACACTTTTGAGCCCATGAACATACGACCCCATGCGATGAGGGTACGTGATGGTCTTCTGCGACAACAGGTCTATGATTCGCGATGCGATGTGAAAGATGAGCTACGACCACTTTTGGGATGAGATCCGAACGGCAAAGAAAAAAAGGTGTTGCCTCTATAAATCCTTTTGTGAAAAGATTGATGGCGAAAACTATGATTAATGTATTGAGAAAATAAGTAAAATGTATAAGACAGATTGTAATTGGGAGAGAGAGATGAGAATGAGAGAAAGTGAGAAAGATAGAATATAAGGCCTTCAAAGGCCAAATGGGATATGTTGGATTTATGTGGCCTTTAAAGGCCTTATGAATACTTGTAAAATAAAATAATATAGTAGAACATGAACTCAATGGGAGAGTGGTCCCTCGTGGACCAAACTAAGTAAGCGATGTTTGTTGATACCGGATGGTGCTTGACGATCTGGGCCAATCAGTTGGAAAACCCAAGGTATTTGGGCATAGAGAACAAATCGAAAAGGGTTCTGAGTTATCCCTTGATGAGATCGGAGCTTATGCCTGGATGAATGAGCCGAAAGACTATGTGACCCTTGTGTGTGATGGTGGGCCTACAGAGACGGGAGCCAAAACCTCATCGATGGCCCATCACACGGTATGCATATCGATAGATCGTTCGGGAAAGCCAGATATCCACCTTTTAGGGTGAAGCGTATGCATGGGCGAGAAATATTCCTATACGTCATAGATCTGTGGTCGCATACGGTCTTGATGATATTGACTTGTCTTTGGTGACCTACTAATGAGCCCTTGTTTGGACAGTGGGTCATGAAAAACACTGGGTCAGTCTGATAAAGCAAGTGTGGTCCGTAGTCCATAGTTGATGGTAGAGTGTTCATGATTGTTAATTCAATTCTTAAACCATATGGATCCATTTCTCATCATAGTAATTTAATTATGTTTGTTTTATGATCGAAATTGTTTTAGAATTATTATTTGAATTTTTATGAGTCTTTTGATATTTTATTTATAATTTTTGGATTTATAAAAATAAAGTTATTGATTTTACAAAATATAAAATTCAAATAATATTTTAAAAATTGATTTGTAAAATACCATAGGGGCCCATAGTGCACATGGGCCTACCATGTACCATGTGGGTGGGGCCTACACGTGCCACACATGGGTGGCACGCTTCACCTCTGGGTTGTTTGCTTTGTTGTGAAGTTATTCAAATTTAGGAAATGTATCTTATGGCATGTGATCTAATATTAGATATAGAAAAGATTGACCACATCTTATCCTAAATATTGAAGCATATCTTGACTGGACATATCTTTGAATAGTATGGAAAAAATATATTATTTTATTGAATGAATAATATTTAAATAAGATTCGATTTATTTAAATATATTGATTGGAAAATGGTTTAAAAAAAAGGGGATAATGGTCCAAACACTTTTCATAATGTTGGTGGCTCAAATCTTTCACCCCACAAGTCACTTTGATCAACGGTCCATATTCAATCTCAAGAAAGAGGCAAACTACGAGAAACCCTAAACCTAATTTTTCTCTATAAATAGAGGTACACCATCTTCCTATTCTTTATACTTTTCTCTCTCCCACAACTCTCTTTTCTCTCTCTCCCATAAGGGCATGCCCCACTCTCTCTCCTCTGGGTCTCTCTCGCTCTCCAACGTTCTCTCTTTAACCGTCTCTCCTAAGCCTCTAGACTCTCTCCTCTAGGTCTCTCTCGCTCTCCAACTTTCTCTCTTTAACCCTCTCTCTCCTAAGCCTCTAGAGGGGTACGCCCCCACCCTAGGTCTCCCACTTTCTTATTCATGCTTTAAAAATACTAAGAGTTAAGAAATTAAGGGTAAGCCAATAAAATTTTGAGAGTTAGAGTTTGTAGAGAGTTAAAGGTGAATACTCAGATTGGTTGATATTTGCTTTCTCGGTTCGAGATTTAAGCTAAACTGTTGATCCCGTGCCATTGGATGTTGGTGATTCGGTGTGGGGTGTAATAAGCCCGGTTGACGTAATCTCCGGCACTCTTTTTTTTTTTTTGTTATATTTAATTATATTGTTTTTATATTCTCAAGTATAAGAATTGTGAATATTTTTTTGTTTAAAGAAAATTGGTTTAATGGCATCAAGGTTTTTAAGATCTTGGATTTGTTAGTTTTATTTTCTTTGAAGCAAGAATTATTGTAATAAGACTACTTGTAAGTGATATTTGCCAAGAGAAAAAAAAAAAGAAAAAAAAAATAAAAATAAAAAAAATATATTCCCCCGCATGATCGCATTAATCTTTCTTTCAAGTTTTAGAATCCTGACAAGCAAAAAGCCACGAGTGTGGGGAGTCAAGTCCTTTTTGTAAGATAGAAAATTCTTTTAATGCTTTTAAATTAAGACTAATTACATGATGTGATTTTTCTTGATCATAAGGATGCGCCTCTTCCTTCCAATCCATGTACTTAGCCATAACGGATCACCAGAAACAACTTTATAGCCTGCATTTGAATACAAAGTACGAGCACCAGTATCGTCTTCGTAAGCTCTGAGTGCAAGGCATTCAAAACCCCATAGTCGAGAGAGCACATCGCATGCCTTGAGCAATGCTGTAGCCACCTTGCGCCGCCTTTATTTACCATAAAATCATTCAATTCAGAAGACAAGTATTTAATAATAAAACATCTTTCTTGAATGTTAAGAGAGAAATAACAGAATTTCAGGGAAAAATTGCAAGAGAGGTAGTTATTGAATTACTAAATTTGCCCACACATGCATTGCATTGCAGTGTGAAACATTTTCTGCACTTACATGAAAAAGGAAAAGGATAATAAAATCTTAAACATCACGACAGTCATATGGAAATGCAAGAGACACCTTTGCTTTCGGCCAGTCAGTCATGTTTGAAGTGTTCAAGATGGAGGTGGCATCCCCCTGGTGCAAAGTGACTTTGAGGAAGACAGGTTTTGGATGGAGCACCTGTGGCCCATGAGCACCTTGGGAGAGAAGCTATGGAGAATGGATTGTGTCAGCTCAGCATGTGAAGGGTGAATACTGGTGTGCTGATCAACACAATGCTTTCCTACTATCATTACAGGCCCCCTTGAAATGTCTCCATAGGTGGTCCGAATGCTTGAAGCTGGGAGGCCCCATGTCTCCACTTTTTATAACATTATCATAGGGTTTGTTAATAGAAAAAACAACAGAAAACGGGACCAAATGTGGTTGTGTTTTATCAACTACACATTATAGACAACACCCTTATGTGTTGGATATCATCGGTGTTTAGATGTATAGTTATGATTTATGAATGATATTCTAGTGCTATGTGGCAGTTTGGAACAAAGTATTAATCCACAGAAAAGATTCACAATGAGCACTGGGATGGGAAACACATGGATGGAGTTGCATGATGGACTAGGACTGGGAAAGATTGGAAATTTGGAAAATCCACCTCTTATCTTTGTCCGAGAATTCTTCTTAAGGCCTCCCTGTTCAAAGTTCTATATATCTATTCCAGTATCTCATTTGTATCCATAGCGCCAGAGATATTGAAGGATCAAACAGTCTTTGGTTGTGGAAAAGTAGCCGTAATGTCCACCAATTTCATTTAACCAAATGGGAGAAATATGCAACCTCAATAGTCTCCACTTGTAGTGGAGTTTTGTTGAGAAACTAATAATTGTAAATCATGCTTTCTTATAACAAAGTTTAGATGAAAATCTAGCTTTTAGGATCTATGAAGTTTCAGTTAGTAGTGGGAAGATTGGAGAGACTAATGTGAATTTGAAGACTAGATTCCCAAACCCATTGTTCATATATGCCTTAGCAAGTTTCTAAGCTATAAATTGTAATGATCATAATTCCAATTTGATTGAAAGGAAACAGGAAAAAATCAAGGCTCAGACGGCACATGTATACAGAAGTCAAGGGATATTTTGGTGATTATGGGATCATCAAAGAATTTCATCAACAACAAAACGGTTGGAAGGTTTTGTCATTTTTGCTCTTGGAAAAATAGGAAACTAAAGGAAATACCTGAATCCTGTCACGACCGCTATCCCCGACACATAGAGGTATTCTTCTGCTCCTTCGAGGTACCTCAAAACTGCTTCATCTCTCAAGACTGTGACATCGACCACACCCACGAGTCTCCGCTGTGAGGTTGAAGAAGCAACTTCAGGCTCAGCTACCAAACAAGCATACCTACAATGTAAATAGTCTATGAGATCCAAAGATATTCCCAGAAAAATATAGTCAAAGTAATTTAATTACCCAATAAGAAATGCACACAATAGCTGTTTTAATTAGTTCAAACAAAGGGAGAGAAACCCAGATTTCCCCAAAATTTATCAAGAAAAGCATTAGAGGGGTGAATGTGATCATTCTGCATTTATGACAACACTAGAATCACAGAGAACTAGAAAAGAGGCATTTTTTCCCTTTAAAATCGATCTGATAGAGAAGAACTTATATCTCATTATAAGGATGGCATGGTTAATTAAGGGAAGGTGGTTATGGTATGTGAAATGTTTTTATTTATTTTTATATTTATTTATTTTCTTTTCAAATGATATCTGTGTGTGAAAGTTGGTTTAATTCCACAGTGGTTAAAGTGCGTTTGAATGCAAGTCCCTATCTGTTTGCATCTCCTCCTTGCATTCAAATTGTTGTAAAAGATTATGCCTGCAGACCACCTCTTACATTCATCTAACGACAGTAATTCCAGCTAGCTCTTTGGTCCCAAAATATGCTAACACACTAGTTTAAGGTGTACAGTTCTAGTCCTCTTAGTTAAGTTGACTCTCCATGCTTATCCAGTTCTTTTATCGGCGACAGACTGAAACTTCGATGGTTCAAAGCTAGACATTGAATATGCATGATAAGAATTATAATTACATTGTGTAAGAAGTATTAAGCCCAAGGAAGATTTACAGTACATGATTAAACCTCACAAGCACTAATTCAAAACATAAACCTTCATAACTGATGACCAGCCAAACCATCAGCATTAAATATAGAAATATCCACACCGCAATGCAGCCAGATTATGACTTTTCGTAATACAAGCTTCCAATCATAGTAAAGAAAACATAGTTATAAGTTTATAACCGAGGTCCTTCCTATTTGTTTATTTACATTGAATTTTTGGTTCACTCTTTAGCTTCGTATTACACGACTTTTGAAACAGAACAATTCTGACAAAAATCCATTGGAACAACCCCTACACCAGATGAAGGTGACAAGAACGAGAAGCATTCCGTATTCATTGGCTATGAGATATCACACCAGCACTTGAAATGATTGACAGTGATTAAGATAGAGTGGGAACCACTAGAACACAAACGAGTCCAATGCAAGCCCATTACTGGTTACATCATTTAGATAGTTGGTAGTGACAGCAATGGAGAATGGTTTTTCCATGATTTTTGGGATTATGGTACACTTTCTTTCATTCTTCCGTTCGTTTTTTTTGTTAGTTTAGAGGGGAAGGGATCCTCTAAGTAGGAATAGAACTCAAGACATCACGTTGTGGTGATTGCCTATCTTTGAGCCCAGTCCTACCTATAGTATACTTTCACATAGCAGTAGACCTTCAACTATCATTAGAAGTCTTACCTATTCGGTGCTGAATTTCTAATCTTGTAGAAAAGACCAGCAAGCACGTCAGCCTGTATCATGGCACATAAAAAAGGTAAACAAGTGCAACCATTGATTAGAGTTGAATCAGTTGATTGTTGCAGGCCAAAACTTACGGGCCAAATTTGAAAGCATTAATACATCTCCCACATGCTGAAGTATCAGAAGGCATTCAAAAGTGTCTTCTATACAAATTTTAGTCAAAATTGATATAACCATGAATAGATGTATAAAAAGTAGACTATCAGCATGTGGGTAGGGGAAGTGTGTATAAGTGAGCATGTGCATGCAAGTTCTGTGTTTGTGCATGCGCTCGTGTGATTGTTTTTGGGGGGAGAGAGAGAGAATGTTGTTACCATGTGTATATGTAGTTATGTGTATGCGTGCCTGTGTGTCATACATCATTAGGGGCCTTAATTTTCTTTTGTGCATTATTTACTCATAAAGTAATTCTATGCCTCTTTTGTATACACATAAGCCTGAGGTTTTTTTCAACAATGTCAATGAAATATATTACACAATATCCTGGCATTATCCATTAAACCATACAGGTCTTGTGTTCTGAAACCAATTTACAGTTTCCTTTGTAATAATTTGTAATATGATAAAAGTCTGATGTACATCCTCAGGTGCCAAATAGGTGAATTAAGGGTTTTGTGTGTAACCAGTCTAACAGATGTGACAATATTGCTCACATGTGCATATAGACTGCAAGAACAATAAGGAATTTTTAACAATTTTTTGCCTCATTCTGAAAGAAAAAAAAAATGGTGATGGTTTCAGACCATTTGGAGCTTGGGTTCAGGCATTTAAATGTGAATTATTGATAGTTTAGAAGAAGCTTTATCTTGGAGTCGTAGAGAGGACTCTAAGGCCCCGTTTGGACAGACCAGTTATTGCCGAACAACTCTGTGCTCCCCTGCCCATTATGGAACAGAAAAGGTCACAGTTTGGCCTGCTCCATTATTCAAGGGCATGATCCCTTCTGTTTCCTGCACACTAAGAAAAAGGCTCAAAATTCCTCACCCATTAAACAAAAGACGTGTTCTTCACTTATTTCCAATGGAATTGTTGGGCAATCCAAAAGGGTCTTAAGACTAGTCAAGAAGGCTCTGACCCCCAGTTCAGATAAGTAGAATTTCAAGTTCAAATAAGTCTAGGAATTTTTCAAATAGATCCTTCTATCTTCGTAAAGACTCCATATACATTATAAGCACAGAGAATTCACCATCAAAGTTGAATTTGAAGTTATTTTTTTAGCAGCTTGCTCCATTGTACCATACACATGGATCTTCTGTTTTTTTCTTCCTTCCATCTTTATATAGTTGATACATGGAGTTCACAACTTCCCAAAAAGATATATTCTTTGATCCCTCTACTTGACTGTAAGAAAATCTGGCATGACAAAATCTAATGCTCACCCGAACAATATTGAGATCGTCGATGAAATCCTCCTTTGCATCCATCAGTTTTCCATGACTTGTCGCGGCCAAGGTAACTCAGCCTTTGGGCAAGGCGTGTAACTCGGTCAAGTCCCTGTGGATTATTGGGACTTGGCCAAGTTATGCACAAACTTTCTACATTATGAAAAAAAAGAAAAAAAAATTATAAAAATAATAAAAATCAGGAACAGTATTCATAGTTAATACAAATCATTAGAAGGCTAAAGAAGACGAAGAAAAACTATAAAATATGGACAATCGAACAATTTGATTTACACTTCAAATATTTCAGAAATTTTAAAAAATATATGAATGATTCTTAATCACCCTAAAATCATCTAAAAAATCATTTTTAAACAATATATTGGTCATTTCTATTCTTTTAATTTTTTTAAAATGTTTTTATTAATCTTTTTTAGGGGGTTTTGTGGGTGGCACCCAACTCGCCTGGCTAATAGGGCAAAACGAGGTACTGGGTGACTCGGCCAAGTCATGGAACACTGGCATCCATTATAATGGAAGGAGACTCACGTAATGCAAACTAAGATTCTCCTTCCCTTTGGGGATAACATGCAATTGTTAGAAGTTTATAAAGATTATTGATGTATTGCATATAGCAATTTTAAGATAGTCTAGTAGAAGCACATGTGAACATTAAGACCCTATTTGGAGAGACAATTTATTAAGGAATAGTGCTGCTCTTTCCGGCCTATTTGGGTATCGGTAAGGACCTTTGTAAAATCCGCTAATTAAGAAAAGGAAAAAGTTTGCGTAAGGTTGTAACCTTAAAAATGTAGAATGAAGGTGTCTAAAAAATCTATCATAAAAAATTGTTTTGATGTTGGAAACGTTTCATTGATTTTGAGTCCCAAAAATAGTGTCTCTTGGAATACTTTATCTGAACTGTTCATTTTTTAGATTTTCATGTGTTCATAGATGAACTTGACTTTACCCATTTTTTGAGTTTAAAATTTTATATTTAGATATCTAAACAGATTTTCAAGGCATCCTAAGAATTTTTGACGCCAAAATTACATTTAAGATAAAACGTGGAGGCGTACCGTAATTTGATTGTTTAAGGTTGCAACCTTATGCAAACCTCACCCTTACAAAACAAATGCAGCCAAGGTGCTCAAACTTTGGACCTAACCTGTTTCTCAGGTGTTGCCAAATAACCCAATTCTTTATTGGAATTGTTGGGTCTACCAAACACCTCATTTACTATAATAACATAACCTCAAATTCTGGACCACAACTAAATGACCCTTCAAAGTTCAAAATCACTATCACCTCCATCCACTGCAAATATTAATGATATAATAACTCTCTCTCTCTCTGAAAATCAAAAGCCACATTGAATTTTAACTAACATACATGAACAACAGCAAATGGAACTCCCAAAATGTTTCAAAACTAGAACAAGTGCAAGCAAGTTTTGAAAACATAATGGTAGAGAGAGAATTACCAAACACAAAAGGAAGGAGAGAGAGAGAGAGAGAGAGAGAGAGAGACCAACCTCAAACAAGTGAAAGAAGAAGTCATTGAAAAAGGGCATGGGCACATGAAAGGCCTTTGCTTGAACTTCAGCCACCCTCCTCATCTCATTCTCCTCGAACTCCAAACACCTCACATTCCACCCATAGCACCCTCTCAACACATACCCATTCTCCAGAGCAACTTTCTCCTGTGACCAAAATGCCCTCACCCCCTTCTTGCTCCCCATCTCTCTCCCCCCATTTTTGAGGATTAAAGCTGGTGCCCATCCAAACAGCCCCCCCTTCCCCCTCTCTCTAGAACCACTGTTCTTCTGCTCTCTATGACTAGTGCAAGTTTTCAACGGTTTCTTCTCTACAAAAATACATGAAGTTTTCAAGGCCTCTCTCGCTCTAGAAAGAGTGCAATTCCTCAAGGCCTTCTTATGACAAGGATTAGGATGAATTTTCAGGGCTTTATCCAACTTTGGACATGGGTGTGGCCTTAAGTGAGCCATCCTTTAAATAGGGGTCTTCAACTATGCTACGTATTTATACCCCAAGAGAGAGTTCAATCATGTCAAAAGAGAGAGAGAGAGAGCACCCTATTGGATTTTATTGCTCAAGAGAGAAAATGTTAAGGTTTTTTTTGGAACGAAGTAGGGAGAGTTGCATGTATGGAATGTGAAAATTTTGGACTAAAAATAATGTTTTGTGCATATGTGGTGAGTGTATATACACGAGCAATAGTGGATTGAGTGGTCCATATGCAAAGCTTATCCATTGTCCATACTAGTTAGTTTCGTTCAGTAATTTAAAAAATGGATTGGCAACCCACGTCAAGAACCCTTAAAACCAGTTTGGATCGGTCAATCAGTAATCCGGATGCCGTTTTACTGCGTGGAAAAAATAGTGAACATGTGAAAAAATATTTGAAAAAATAGTGAATTGGCAAAAAACCTCTCCGGATTGGTGAATCGGCAGTTTGGGTTGTTGCTTTACTAGAGTCTCATCGTTTTACTGTGCGGAACAACCCGTTTCCTTTTAGACTTGGCTATTTCCCTATATATATATATATATATATGTAAAACCAGAATAAGGTGATTGATTCCTAGGTTGAACTGGGGGATTCTGTGCCAACGATTTAATGGAACCAATGATTTAAAAAATACCGGGTTGGAACCAATGATTTGATGGGATACTGTTTTACTGTAGACACCCGGATATTTTAAATCCATTTTTAAGATAGGTTTAAGTGGGGGACCTGCATAGACTCAGAGAATCCCCTTCCTTTAAGGAGATTTATTAAGGAGAATTCCGTACCATATGGGCACCAGTGGAAAAGAAAATAGGGTAATTATAGCAAATATACCTTAATTTAAGTTTAATTGAAAAAAATCCCAAACTTTTGTAAACTTCGTCTACACTTTTTTTTCCCTCATTTTCGATTTTTTTTCCTTAAATGACCTTCACAGTACTCATATTATCGTGAAGAACATTACGGTACTTTAAGTACCGTAATAGTTAGTGCATTTTATACGGTACTTTAAGTACCATAATACTTAGCCATTTTATATGGTACTTTAAGTATCGTAATAGTTTACACGGTACTTTAAGTACCGTAATACTTAAGGAATTTATATGGTCCTTTAAGTACTGTAATACTTAGGGTATTTTATACGGTACTTTAAGTACCATAATATCTCGAATGTTTATTACGATACTTGAACTATCGTAATTATATCCTGCCCTTTCTTTAAGTCGATTTCTATCATAAAACCCTATTTTCATGATTTTCTTATTATAAACTCCTCTTTCATCTTCCTTAGCCTCCTCTATCTCTCTCTCATCTATTGATCATCTTCCTTAGCTTCCTTTCTCTCTTTCTCTCTCATCTATTGAACTTGTAAGCAATAATAATGGCTGACAACTTAGTGAAAATCATTTTACACTTTGGTGGTTTTTGTAAAGAGGAAATCTAATGATGGACATATTTTTTATGACGGTGGGGATATAAATGTTATATTTTTTAGGGGGATCCCATCATTTGATCAAGTAAAGGATCACTTGTCAAAACTATCAAATTATATCCCAAGTTCTATGATTATTAAGTATATTGACCCAGGGTTATTAAGTAACAGTAATATGATACATATTGATGATGATGACAACATTGTAAATATGATTGAAGGGTCTTCTCCTATCGCTATGTATGTATCAAACTGATTTATTGAGTCTGACTCCACTGAATATCGACCACCAACAGTGCCTGATAATGGTTCATCAAGATTGGTCATGTAAGAAGTTTGCAATGAAATTTTTAATTTTTTATTTAGCAATATTTTGTTATGGTTAGGATAATTCTCAACGGTTCTTCAAATTTTATTTCGATAGCAGTTCTTGACTAGAGCACGTATCAAACAGACCTATTGAGTCCGGCTCCACTGAATATCGACCACCAACAGTGCCCGATAATAGTCCATTAAGATTGGCCATGTAAGAAGTTTACAATGACAGTCATTAATTTTTTTATCTATCAATATTTTGTTATGGGTTAGGATAATTCTCAATTGTTCTTCAAATTTTATTTTGATAGCAGTCCCCGACTAGAGCACATATCAAACAAACCTATTGAGTTCGACTCCACTGAATATTAACCACCAATAGTGCCCGCTTGTCCATCAAGATTGGTTAGGTAAGAAGGTTGCAATGGAATTCATTATTTATTTTATTTATCAATAATTTGTTATATGTTAGGATAATTCTCACTTGTTCTTTAAATTTTTTTTCGATAGCTGCTCTCGATCAAAGCAATTAGTTCACAGTGAAGGTGTTGCTGGCATTGGCATAGAAGATGAACATGATTCAAAAAGCGAGTGGCATATTGACGACATCGATCAGATAAAAAGCCTCCACAGGATTAACCGTTATGAAGTTGTACTTTGACATGGTCAGGATTTTGACAATGTACTGGTATGCCGTAATTACCTTATTGATTATGTCATATCACAAAACTTCAATATGAAGTTTATAAAAAGCGAGGAGAGACGTGTATGGGCGAGGTGTGCTGCAGATGGGTGTTCATGGCAAGTGCACTGTTGGAGGGTTAATTCAACAAATTTCTTCAGGGTGAAGAAGTTTGTAAACATACACTCATGTGCCGGCAGAATAAGTAGGGTTCATCAGCCGCTTACCAGAAGCCACTAGGTCGCAAGCAAGATCAAAGACCGTTTGAATGATATCCCCAATCAGATGGAGATGTAGTTAATGATATACAACATGATCACGGTATCATACTATCTTACCAACAAGCATGGCGGGGCAAATAGGTTGCACAATAGATAAATGAGGGTTCCCATGTGAAGGTATATGGCGATCGCGTCAAGTACATTCATAAGATCCGAATCACTGACCCTGGAACCGTAATGATTATTCAAACAGATGATCATGATAGGTTTAAGCTTGTATTTATAGGCAATTGTCCATGTTTGTATGATTTTATGTATGGTTTCAGGTCACTGATGAGACTAGATAGGATATTTTTGTAGGGAAGATACAAATGGATCCTATTGCTGCAGTTGGGGTAGATGTGAATGAAAATATATTTCCTAAAACAAATGCAGCGGTTGAGAGTGAAAATACACCAAGTTGGACTTGGTTTCTAAAGCTTCTCAATAAGCAGTTTGACGAGAGGCCTGATTTGCCAGTATTGACTATTATCTCAGATCGTCAGAAAGGGTTAAAAGTCGCAATTGAAAAGGTATTCCCAACTAGTAAACAAGGCTATTATATGAATCACCTTGCCGATAACTTCTAAAAGGCCTATAGAAATTCGGCGCTCACAAAGCTCTATTGGAGAGCTGCACGTGCATTGTCTATATCAGACTTCGTTGAGTACATGATAAAGATTAAAAGTGCAAATGCTCAAGCCTATGACTGGATCATGTTACAACATCCAAAGTATTGGGCAAACACATATTTTCGGGGGTGTAGATATAATCATCTTTCATCGAACATCGCCGAATCATATAATCGGTAGATATTAAATGCTCTAGAGAAATCCCTTATTAAACTCCTTGAATGCCTAAGAATTAAGCTCATGAAAACATTTTCAAAGAAGATAGTCATGTCCAGAGAATGAAGTGGCGTGCTTGCACTGAAAGCCCAATAGGTAATAGGCAAGAGAAATGATAAGTCCAGATTCATTCATACAGTCATATGGGCACATGATGGTATGTATGAGATCAATGCAGATAAGAAATATACTGTTAATCTGGCCACACATACATGCAGTTGTCGGGTGTGGCAGGTTAGTGGGTTGCCATGCAGTCATGCGATCGTCGCTATAGATCATAGGCATGAAGATGTTACAAAGTTTTGCGGTGTTTATTTAACAGTTCAAATGTATCGTAGATCATATTCCTTTCCCTTCAACCTAATACCTAATACACTAGAGTTGTCAGATATTGTCTATACAACAGTAATACCGCCAACTGCAAGGCGAACTGCGGGTCGGCTAAAAAAACGACGCAAGCAAACAGAGTACAAAGAGAGTAGGCCTCCTAAGTGTAGTCGATGCGGGGTCGTGGGCCATAACCGGAATACATGCAATTAAAGTATATAAAATGATGTAACGAGCCCATTAGTGCCAGTTGATATTGTTTTTATATGCCATTTTGTTTTTGAATTTGTATAGAGGTCAGTGCCTGTTGATATGACTTTTTACTTCAATTAATGAAATATCTAAAGTTCTTGATTGATGAGTGTCTGTTCAATTTTTAAAAAGTATGTGTTCAAGCATATCCAATTTTAAAAAAAAGACTTAATCTTAATTATTGTTTGGCATGTGATTGCTCAAATTTTAAAAAAAATACTGTAAAACAAATTACATTTTTTTTTAAATTATTTATTTGTTTCAAGAGTTATTTGTTTGTACTTGGATATTGTGAGTGGCCTTGCCTGTGTAAGAATCAAAAAAATGAAAAAAAAAAATTTATGTGCACTATGCTTGATCATAGAGTCTAACTTTGAATTTTTAGGTGCTACAATATTAGGCCCTAGAACATTGCTTGCTACACAAGGCATGGCGAGGAGTTTGCGTTGGACAGGAAAATCTTTTTCGAAAAAAAAAAAGCAAAGCAGTTCAAAATATATCACAAGGACGTGTCACGTTCTAAAAAATTGACACGAACTTTTTGCATGTGAAGTTAATCGTTGATTGATGCTTCCAAAGCCACATGAGTTTGGTAACAAATCTTCACATGGTAGGACACCCCTCTTTGATGAACTGAGCATTAAAATAGAAGGTATCATTCCTTAAAGCACCATTTCTTTTAACTTAGGGTTTTAATTGTCCTTGGGAAAACCTGCTTCATCATTGGAGATAGATGTTAAGACCATTATGATTATAATTATGAAAAAAATAAATTCAGGGGTTGAAAAATGATTTACTCTATGTGTTTTTTTTCTTACTATTTATTTCAATTTTTTTGGATATTATCAAATTTGAATAAGTTTTGGGGCTCCAAATCAATAGATATGAGGTGGAAATGGATTACAGTAATTTGGGATGTGGTTTGAACCCTAAATCCCTTGAAAACCAAGGTGTATACATGGTTAACTCACCAAATGCTTTTTTTAAACATATTTCTTAAAGCTCTTTTTTTCAAGGATTGT